AAGACGGGCCTGCAAGCTAGAATTCAAATTTATAAGCAAAGTCCTCAGTGCCCTTGACATTTTAGCCATGATCCCTCAATGCAGACTCATATTCTGCCACTCAACATCACACATGGCACCCTCTAGGCATAAAGACCTTCTCAATGTCTTTGATCACACTAGGCTTTTTCTCAAGGCCAAGCCTGTGTGTCTGCTCATCCCTCTGTCTGAAACATTCTTTCCCCTTTTCTTAGCTAGCAGAACATCTATTCAGGTACAGGTAGTCAAATGTTACCTTCCCCATGAAGCTCCAACTTCCTCTGGCAGCAAATCATTCCTTCCCTTGGACTCTCAGGAGCACTCTGTGCATGAACTCTCTCACACTGTGCTATGATTATTTTACACTTTACACGCCTGCTACCACTGATAAACTATAAGCTCCCTGTAGGCTGCTATTGGTTTCCTTTCTTTGTTTCCCTAGAGTCTGACTTGGTGATAGACAATGGAAAGTATTTAATCAATATCTAACAAATGAATGAGAATCAAATACCACTGAGTACCACGTGAGGCCTTGCCTGTCCTTCTTCTGTAATATCTCTTTTTAACTAAAACACTAGGAAGAGACTAAAGCAAGAAAGTCAGATTTTCCATATTTGGGGCTAAATCTCTTATAAAAAGAAACAAGATATTTTCATAAACCAGCAAGGAAAATTCCAGGGGAAAAGCCAGGCAAATCAGCAGAGTTTCCAATCTGTCACCACTTTAATCCAACTGTAAATCACTTCTAGTTTAATTTTAAAGGACAAAACACCACTGTCTTCATGTCTTTTTTTATTTAAGAACTTAATGAGTGGCTCCCATTGCCTATCTGATCAAATCCAAGTTTCCCAGTCTGGTTTTGAAGACGTTCCACAGTCTGGCTGCATTTCACCTATCTAATCCACTGTCCACACAACTGTCAGAATTATCTTCCTGAAACACAGAGAATTATTCACTCTCATATTTAAAAATATTTTAAGGTTCCTCATCATCTCAGATAAATTTTAAATTCCTCACATAAGCTTTCTACTATTTGGCCCCCATCTTTTCTTTTCTGGCATATCCTCCCTAGTCTTCAATCTTCAGCTAACTTCCCAAGCTTTCTCAAATATTTCTTCCATTTTCCTGTTTTTGTATCTCTACAATGTTCAAATTGTTCCTGAACCCCTACCATGCTCTCTTCCATAGCTGTTGTAAAAAGTCAGTAGTCCCAATACAAAAGACATCCAACCCACCAAGATTTCTCCATTTTCTCTACTCCCATTGAGAATCAATCACTGGGATCAGCCTGACTGGGACGCATGCTCTTCTCATATTCCCTACAGTTTCTGCTAATACTCTATCCTTCCATTACAGTTATATACATAAGTATTGAATGTCAATCAGTATATACACATCTTTTAAAACACCCTCCCTAGACTGCACATCCATAGCCTTCTTTCACTGCTTCCCTTTCTAGTAAAATTCCTCAAAAGATATGTTTATATATGTTGTTGCACTTCTTCTCCCATCTTTTAAGCTCACACAAAATAGACTTTCATCCACTACTCACTGAAACTGCTTTTATCAAGATCATCAATAACCAAGCCAAAGGGCAATAGTCAGTTGTCTTCTTGAACTAACAGCACCAATTGACATAGTTCATTGCTCTTTGCTGCTTGGACCACTCTCTTCCTTTGGTGCCTGGGACACTTTCTCTTTCTTCTCCTCTTCTCTCCACCACCTACTGGCCTGTCCTTCTCTAGCTTTTTCACTTGATCTAAGTTGTCCCAACCTCTACAAGTTGAAGTGCCTAAGATTTAGCCTTCCTTGTATCTTTTTCAAACACACTCATACTCTGATCTCATTCAGTCATATGTTTGTAAATTTCATCAATAAGTTGACAAGATCTAGTTTTCTGTCTCCAGCTTTTACCTGTCTCCTGAATTCCAAATCATATACACCACTACCTAATCAGTTGTAATTAGATGTCTAATAGGCATCCAAAACAAAGTATGTCCAAAACTAAACTCTTGACTTCTCCTCTAAAGCATGCATCTATCATACCCTACCTCATTTTAGTAAATGGCCTCTCAGTTCTAGACCTTGGAGTCATCTTTGACCCTTTCTTTTTCTCATCTAATCCATTAGCAAATTTTGATAGCTCTGCATTTAAAATACATTCAGAATTTTGTTACTGTGCACAACTTTTTCAATGCTATTACTCTTGTCTAAGCCACCCTCATCTCTTGCTTGAATTATTTCAATAGTCTCTTAACTGATTTCTCTATGTATATGCTTGACACCCCTACCCCTCAACCTTTGAAGTGGTCTTTTTAATTTTTTAAAAAGATTTTATTTATTTATTTGAGCAAGAGAGAGAGAGCACACGAGCAGGGGTGGGGGAGAGAAGGAGAGGGAGAAGAAGACTCCCCACGGAGCAGGGAGCCTGATGTGGAGTTTGATCTTGCGACCCCAAGATCATGACTTGAGCTGAAGGCAGACGCTTAACTGTCTGAGCCACCCAGGGGCCCCTGAAGTGGTCTTTTTAAAGCGTAACTATGATTATGTGACTTCTCTGTTCAAAACTCTCCAATAGTTTCCCACCTCATTCAGAATACAACCCAAAGTCTTGACTGTGGCTTCCAAAACATTATGTCATCTGTCCCACAACTCCTTCTCTCAACTCATCTTCTATCATACTTCCTTTTGTTCAGTCAGATCTTGAATTTCTAGTCTCTTTGCTATTTCTCATTGATACCAAGTGCCATTTTGCTTCAGTACCTTTATACTTAATGTTCCTTTACCTGGAATTTTCCTCCTCTAGAGAGCCACAGGTTCCCTACTTTCTTCAGGTCTCTTTTCACATTCTACTTTACCAGAGAGCCCTTCCCTAATCACATTATATAAATCAGAAGTCTTTCCCCACCATTCTCTAACTTCTACCTTGCATATTGTTCTTCATAGCATTCACCACCACTGGACAAAGTATATATTTATGTTTTTATCCATCTCCTTCCCCTCGAATATAAACTTCTCTAGAGAAGGTGGTCTGTTTTATATTCCCAGGACCTAGAACATTGTAAGTATTTGATCTATACAGAATGAATAAATAATTGCTACCTATTAGATTGAAAGCCTTTACTGATTATATATTCCCATTAACACCTAGCTTAGTACCTTCCATATGGTAAAAGTTCAAAATGTTAATAAAACTGAATTGCATCTTATTTCTCTCTGCTTCTCAAAATGCCCTCTGTTCCTTTTTTGGCAAGTTTCCATACTGCTACCTGCTTGCTTTCTTCCTCTGCCCCAGGTCATTTCTGCTGGAAGCCTTGGCTGCTATTTCTTTAACTTCCTCTTTTTCTGTCTATATTTTATTACAACTTTAGTCTTTGGGCTTCCAGGAAACTTTGTACCTAATTTATAATTTAAATTCTATCATATATATGGGCAAAAGCATAGTATATATAAGGTTCAGTACTGTCCATGGTTTCAGGCATCCACTAGGGGTCTTGGAATGTACCTGCTGTGGATAAGGGGGGGGGGGGTCTATGGTACAAGGTTACATGCATGGTAAGTGGTAACAACTATATCAACTGATCCAGAATAGTATCTCACTTTGCATACTACACATCACCACTTGGATATCTGATAGGGATCCTACTCTGTCTGAAACAGAGTTCCTGATTTTAGCACTCATTCCTGTTCCTTCACCATTCTCCCCCCCCCCATCTACTAGTCACCAGTGGGAACCCAGTTTCTTATGCCCCAAGTCTAGGAATCATTTTTTTTTTAATTGAAACTTTATTCTGGGATAGTAGATTCACAGGCACTTGTAAGATCCCATGTATCCTTTACTCAATTTCCCCCAGTGTTAACATCCTGCAAAATTATAGTACAGTCTGGCAGTTCCTCAAGTGATTAAACATAGTTACTATATATCCCACCAATTCCATCTCTGGTATATAACCAAGAAAACTGAAACATATGTCCACACAAACATTTGTAACAGATGTTTACAGCAGCTTATTCATAGTAGCCAAAAGGTAGAAAACAACCCAAACGTCCATCAGTGAATGAATGGGTAAACTGTATGTGATATAGCCATATAATAGAATATTATTTGGCCATGAAAAGAAATGAAGTACTGGTCATGCTACAACTTGGATGAATTTTGAAAATATTATGCAAAGTGAAAAAAGTCAGACACAAAACGTCACATATTATATGATTCCATTCATATGAAAGTCCTGAATAGGGAAATCTATACAGACAGAAAATAGTGTTGCTTAGGGCTGGGGTAGAGTGAACAAGAAGAGGAGATGAAGATGAAGTCAGTGCGACATAAAAAGGCTTGGATAGTTTTAAGCATATTTGAAAGTCACTCTGGCTGCTGTGTGAGAATAAATCACAGGTGGAAAAGAGGGGAAGCAGGGTAATTAGTGAAGAAGCTACTCCAAAAAATCAAAGCAAGACATGATGGTGGTTTGGACTAAGGATGTGACTTTGGAGGTGGTGTGTGAACTGATTGGATCCGGATATGCTTCAAATGTTAAAACCAAAGGGTCCGTTGGTGAATTCAGTGCACAGTGTAACAGAAAGAGAAAAGTCAAAGATGACTCCAAGGTTTTGGGTCTGAGCAACTGGACAGATGGAACTAGCATTCACAGAGATGGAGAAGAGCGCAAAAAGAGCAGGGTTTGATGAGCTACATGGGGGAGTTTAGTTTTGGACATGTTAATATTGAGATACTGAGTGGCTAGACAGATTTTTTGTGAGTCTGCGGTTAACTAATAGTCTGTGTTGGTGCTATAATTTGGGAGTTGTCAATGTATAGACTGCATTCAAAGCCCTAGGTTGAACGATATCAACTAGGGTATTGGCTTACATAGGGAAGAGATCCAAGACCCTGAGGCACTCCAAAATGAAGAGGCCTGAAAGATGAAAACGGTCTAGCAAAGGAACTTCAGAGCACTTAGAATAAAATCCACATTCCTTACCTTAATCATGACCTGGCCCTTCTCAACGTCTTTCACCTCGCTGTCTAGTCACACAGGGTATTTAGCTTTTGGAATATGCCAAGTCCTTTCCTGTCTCATGGGCTTTTCGTTTGCTAAGCCATCCACCAGGCATGGTTTTACCCTGGCTCCAATTTTAGTCGCTTCCTTCTGTCACTGCAACTCTCAGTTAAACTGGTGCTCTGAGTTTTTTCTCTAACCCCCCTAATTAAATAAACCCAGCCCGACCACCCCCACCAAATTATGGCTCTTACTATAACCGAAAATTATTTCACTGTTTCCCGTCTAGAAACCCGTCCCACCTTAAATTAACAAACGATTACAAAACGATCACTATATGCCAAATAAAACCTCAACTTCCCGGAGAGCAAGGGCCTCATTATCTTGTCCTCTGCCGCATCCCAATGTAATCGACAATCCCTCACCAGTCAAATCTGTTTTTCAAAATTTATTAGCGTAACGGAGAGTACGATACCCGCAAACTTGAAAACAGAAGAAATTACGCCCGCGGCTCCGCCCAGTCCCAGAGCCGCCTAAAAGAAGGGAGGACCCGCACGCATGCGCCATTGTTCTCTGAGCGCTTCGGGCTGAACCCCACCCCTTTCCCTTGGCGTGTTTAACCACTGCGCATGAGCAACGTGGACCTGTCTGTTCGTTTGTCGGCGTTATCAATAAAGTTTTAGCGAGTACAGACTCTCTCTTTACTTGGCAAGATGGCGGAGTACGACTTGACTACTCGCATAGCGCACTTTTTGGATCGGCATCTAGTCTTTCCGTTGCTTGAGTTTCTCTCCGTAAAAGAGGTGAGGGGGGCTTTGACCGCGAGGAAGGCGTGGGAGCGCGTGAGGCGCGGGGCAGGGCTGAGAGGCGGTGGCCATAGCCCTAGGCCTGCCACACGTGTGAGGCGGCCGCGAGTTTGGTCCTGAGTTGGGCAGTAAGGATCTGCTGGTAATTTAGCGTCGTCCCAGTTAATTAGCACCGCAGAATTTGGTTGTGACGAGAAGTGAGGTGACAGCAGGCAACTCAGGGGAGAAAGAGGTCTCTGCTTCACTACTGGAGGTGACAGTGCCGGAGGGACTTCCGCGTCAGTTCCTTTCGGAAGTTGACCGACCACTCGCCAGCTTCCCTGTAGGAACGCTTGCTTCTAAAAGCAAATGGGAGTGTTACAGATTTTGGTTTTTCTTTCGGGAACTGTGGGAGGGGTGTGCTTGGCTTTGTGTTTTTGTTTGCCGGATCTTTGGAATAATTTACACTTAAATACCTAGTACTTTAATTTACATGAAGTTGTGAATTCTTCGCAAAGAGTTTTCCTGGTTTTTCGGTAAGTAGCCACTTCCTAGAAGCGTGGCATATTTTGTCGGAGGGGGACGGCTTTCCCCCTTCCCCCCCAAGGACAATTTTTTTTACTTAAAAGTGGTTTTCCGGTGTATACAGACTTCGAGTAAATTTGAACGTTAACATTCATTTAGCTACTCACGATACCTTGAACTAGCCTGTGGTTCTGGTACCTCATTTCAAAACGTCTCAATCCTGAAAGTTTTGAAATATTGGGCTTAGTTATACCTTGAGTTTGTTGGGAGATTGATACATTGTAGTAATTATAAAGTAATGTTACTATGATGAAGGGATTCGATTATTGGCCAGAAAAGTAAATGAATTCTATATCTGAAAGCCGATTACAACGTAAGTCTGCTTTAGGGAACTCTAGATTTGGAGAGTAGATTTGTGTGGCTCAACAACAATAAAACAGAAAAGCTCTGCAAATAAACATTAAATTGTTCTGATAACTTTTCAGATCTTCCTGGTAGTTACTGTTCATTAGACAGGTATAATCCTCAAATTTATCTGATCCTTTTCTAAGGACTCTAAAGTTGTGTTGTTAGGGAACAGCAAAGTTTATTTTCAGTAAATTTCAGGAATGTAAAAATAAAGCAATATAAAGCTTTATCATGAGAGGATATGTTTTTTCTTTATTTTTCCTTACGTAGGATGTACTTACACCTATATTTTAGAGCTTGCCTAAAACAGTACATTCTTTTTTTTCCCTTTCGGGATGTGTGAGGATAATTCACCAAAGATCAAAGAATAGAAAAATGCCATACTTGAAATCCTTTATCAGCTACTTGTAGAAATGCTTCTAAATCAGCCAAAGTTCATATTCTTGTAATGTGTTCTTTACGCTTTTGTTTTACAAGGCAGATAGATAAAAGGAAGGAATATGTGAGTGTAAATTAGTTTTTCATAGGGTAAGACCAAAACCATGAAGGGCAGCTGAGAATCCATGGAAAATAACTGCTCGGTACTTGCCTCTTTGTAGAGAATGTTGGTAAGATGGCTGGAATACACCAAGAGGAAGACAGATGCTGGAGTATTTACTTAGCAGTTACCAAATAGGGCTATCATGGAATTGTGTTAAATCCAGGATAAAACCCAGACATTTCACCGCTGAAAAACTTAGCTATCCTTTAGAGGAGATAAAGATCTATAATTACATATGAGGCAAAAAGGAACACATGTCAGAGAAGTACTGGCAGAGTGCTGTCAAAATTGAAGAGATTCTATTGAGTGGGCAAAAAGGACTTTGAGGATAGGTTTTAAGTTGAGTTTTAGATGGTTAGGATAGAGGCAATGATCATGATTCATAAGAGTAACAATTTGATATATTTGTAATATGTTGGATAGTGTAAGCTCTATGAGAGCAGGGACTTTGTTTTGTTCTCTGCTGTGTCCTTAGCATGTAAAAGAGAGTCTGGCATAAAGTGTTTTAATGATTATTTAATATCTCTGCACTTCAGAGATGTTTCTTTCTCATCTTAAGTAAGCCTGTCTCATGCGTAAAGTGTTGATACTGCCACCAATCTTGGAAGGCACCTTAACCTTCTGGGACAAAGTGAATATTCCTGAATATTTTCCATTAGGGGGCTAGCCCATCCTGTGTGAGAGAGGAGTGAGGCAGCCAATTGGGGTTTTGAGGAGTGAGGTAAGGAGTGGAAATGGGGGCTGAGAAAACTGACCAAAGTATAAGGATTGGTAAGTGTGGATGGCCCAACCGAGATTGAAAATCATACATTTATAAGAGCTGATGACGTAACTCTCGAAGTGAGAGCAGCAGTGGAAAGTTATTTAAGTAGTGTAGAAATGTTTGGAGTTATGCTTGTAGATACATGTCAGTTAGAGATGGATTGCTGATCAGCAGAAAAAAGCACAGATGTGACTGAATAGCATTATTACCTGCTTTTGCAACATTTTATAGTCATCCTTAACCAGAACATAGAAGACAGATGACTTTTTCCAGAAATACTGACACTGAATTGTGTTTGGTTGGAGAAAATGGTTGGAATCAATGATACTACTAATGAGAAAATCTTTGAAATAGCTAAAAATGGCATCTAAACTAATGTGGAAAGTGACAACCAAAAAAGGATGTTATAAAAATTAAAAAGAACGGAGGGTATAATGAAGCATTTTAATGGTAATGGTGAAGGAGATGAATTTAAGTTGAAATCTTAGAGATGAGGTACTAAATGAAAGTTGTGGAAAGTTGTGGGAAATTTTAAGATTCGAGTTTCTTAAGAATCATCAGTATGGATGTTGGATTTGTGGATGATGACAGCAGGAAGAGATGTCAAAGGAATTTTTGTTTTAATTTTTAAAGATGTTATTTATTGACAGAGCAAGAGAGCACAAGTAGGGGGAGCATCAGAGGGAGAGGGAGAAGAGGCTCCCCGCTGAGCAGGGAGTCTATGCGGGGTTCTGTCCTAGAGCCCTGGGATCCGAAGGCAGACACTTAACCGACTGAGCCACCCGGGGGCCCCTAAAAATAATTTTTAACAGATGAACATTTGCAAACATTTTCAATTATAGAACACTAACTTTGTACCTTAATAGTTCCTACCCCCCCCCAAATTTCATTCTTCTCATTAGTAGATCTCTTTTACAAAAAAGTTTACTCCATTATTTTTTGCTTCAAAAAGGAAAGAAATTGTGGAAACTCTTATAGTACTTATAAATATTATCCTAGATGGGTTTTTTTTTTAAGATTTATTTTAGAGAGAGAGAGAGAGACAGAACTTGCAAGAGAGCACACTTGGTGAGGGGGGCAGAGACAGGGAGAGAGAGAGAATCTCAAATGGACTCCCTGCTGAGTGCAGAACCCCCATTTGGGGCTCTATCCCAGGACCCTGAGATAATGACCTGAGCTGAAGCCATGAGTCAGATGCTCAACAGACCACCCGGGCACCCCTAGTTTCCTAGATTTTTGCTTCTTGGCACAAAAGTCTAGAATATTTACTGTCTGTCCTTTACAGAGTAAGTGTGGTTATAAGGCAGAATTTAGGGAAGGTGATATAAGCAGATACAGATTTAAGAGGCCAGTAAGATCTGATGGCTGAGGAGCAGTGCTTTGAATCTACAATAGATAGAGAAAATACAAATTAAAAGCTTATTAATGGGGTGGCAAGAAGAAGTTGGCATGTTAGGAAAAGATGTTTTCACAAGATTAGGTTTCTATAGGGTACACTGAAAGGAAGCTTTGATTTTTTTTAAGTAAACTTTTTATCAGATATACCATTCATACAGAAAAGTGCCAAATATAAGCACCGTTTTTCAAAGTGAAACCACTTGTGTGACCACCATAAAACATTACAAATATCCTAAAAACCTTCCTCTGACCCTTTAGTCACTACTCACACCTCCCAAAGGTAAGCACTAGTCTGATCTAGAATAGTTTCGCCTGGTTTTGATTTTGGGTATATGAAATTAAGCATTGTACTGTTTTTATGACTTCTTTTATTCAACATTGTGACAGTCATCCAAGTTGGTAGGATAACTATAGTTCTTTGATTCGAATGCTGAATGTTAATCTGTTATATATTACAGTTTATCCATTCTAATGTTGATAAACTTGACTATTAAAGTAGTATTACTATGAACATTCTTAGAAATGTCCTTTGAATATATGCACCAGGTTCTTTTGGGTATCAAGGAGCAGAATTACTAGGTCTAAAAGTATTTTTGATTTTAGGAGATAAAAACAGTTTTCCAAAGCAGTTGTACCTCTGCCAGAAGAGTTAAGTGTTCAGTTACTCTAAATCTACACCAGTACTGGTATTGCCATTTTTTTGTTTTTGTTTTTTTAATGTGGCTTTAATTTTCATTTTCTGTATGATTAATGAAGTTGAGATATTTGGTGTTTGTTGGCCATTTGGTTATACTCTGGTAAAGTGGCTATTAAAATTTTTTAGCCATTTTCAGTCCTCTATTTTCTTACTTTTTTGTAGGAGTTTGGAAGACTCAGTTTTGATCATGGCTGTACCATTTCATCACCTTCTTCTTTTCACAGGCATTTAAATGTGGAATCTTCCTGCATTTCTCTTTCCTTGACAAAATAAAATTTAGTATGCAAATCTTTTGCTGAAACTTTATCTTGATGACTGCTTATTTAAAAAAATTTTTTAAATTTTGGTTTCTGTCTCCTTGAATACTGTTGTGTAGGATCCTTACATACTGCTCATTG